TATAGCCTCACACACCTGGCAGTTTGCTGCTTATGAGCTGGCATGAAGAGAGCAAGCCTGTTTGAGGTGCTGTGGTACTGGGCCTTGGCAGCCCGCTAACCAGAACTGAGCTAGACCGCTGAGAGCAAGGGCTAGCATAGGGAATCAGAGAAGCCACAGGGATCTGATAGCCAGTAGGTCTGTTGCAGAGACTTTTTCCTACTTGGAAATTACTGAAGAGGGGTCATCTTTTTAGGAAGTCTCTATAAGGTACCCTAATATTTTATATATATGCAGGCCTCAGAACCATCTTGTGGGTGCACTGGTTGCCATATCTCTTTGAGAAGATAATTGGCTAAAATCTCTGAATAGCTATGTAATTCCAGACCCATATATTAGTGGGAGTACAGTAAGAGAAGTATTTGGCTGTGATTCAGAGGTGCCTGTATATTTGGCTGCCCCCAGATTTATGAAGAGAAGCTCCTCTACTGGCACATGGCTGTTCGAGACTTCACTATCCTCATCAACCTGATAAAGGTGAGTTTGGAGGCTCCTTGACCCATCTCATCAGCTAACTACAGAAACCAACAAGGGTCCTGGCTTCCAAATGGACTCTCCCTGCTCTTCTCCCCAACCTTCCTTGGGAACCTGCTCTCCCTCGTCTTCTTCCCTGTCCCCCTGCCCATCCTGGATAACCCCTTCTCTCCCTAGGCACTGTCTTTTTCCTTCTCTTCCTTCCTCTTTCCCATCTGTGCCACCATACTTACTATTTAATGACTCCTTCCACGTGTCATTCCCCCACTTTCTCACCGTGCCTTGGGTCTCTGTGATCTGAGCACATTCCCCACTATCTCCCTCTTCCAACCCTAAATACCTTCTTTATCTCTCACCCACTCCGTGATTTTGCTCAGGCTATTCTCCCAGCTTAGAATGTCGTTCTCTCCTTTCCACCTCTCATCCACTCTTTTTTAAGGCTTCAGATCAAGGTTTTGGACCTCTACAGTGCCATCTTCTTAACATCCCCAGTTGGAATCAATTTTTTGTTCCACTTTGCTCCCCTCTTCCTTTTCTTGAACTTCAATTATGGTGATTACTTTATTCTGCTTTCTAGTTAATTTAGCTGTTGGCATGCCTTCTTCATTTTAGAATTCTCTACAACACCCAGAGCTGTGCTTTGCACAATGGAAAAGAGGCTGGGGTGCTCAAAGGAGCAGTCCTCCGCTTTGGTTTCTTGTCTTTTGTCTCTCCAGGTGTTTGATAGTCGTCCTGTTCTGCATGTATGTTTGAAGGTGAGAGAGTGCCCGGGCTCTCTTGAGTGTTTATTCTTCTGTGGATCTCTCTAGAGAGGGCCTCAGCTGACAGGAATTGCTTAATACCTTGCCCACAAGCCAGAGTCTCCAGAATCTGTGTTAACAGGTGGTAGTTTAGAAAAGACGGTAGATACATTTTCCTACACTAGTTGGATGAATAGAGAAGCCAATTTTCCTATGAGTTTGAAAACTTTTGGTTCTAATCTTAGCACAAGGAGGAGTGGCTTCAGGACAGCTGACTTCAGGAGCAGTAGTCACTCCCTGCATTCCTTCCTAGGCAACAGGGAGGAAGGAGGAGTGACTGATTTTTCTTTTTAAAGCCCATGGGTAGCCTCATGAATGCGGGAGCTGATATCCTGATAACTGCTGAGCTCCTCTCCCATGGGGATCACCCAGATTAGCCCTAGATTTGCTGGTAAACTCAATGGGTTAAGAGCTGGGGAATGTTATGGGAAGAATGCTTCTTCCTCACTCCTGATGGTTTCTTCCAAGTGGACGGTGCCCCATTCTTGTTCTCTCCTGGCCTCTCTCTTCCTCTTTACTCACTCCACCCTGGTGCCAGTGTGGGAGATGGGAGTAGGGGGAGTGATTTATCTGATTGGTAAATTTGGCAATGGTCATGTGCTTCCCCAGCTCTACCCAATTTTTTCCTCTTGGGAGTAAGTTGTCCTCAGGGAACTGGGGTTCCTGAACTGTGTTCTTCTATGCCCTCATTCTTAAGCTGAGCAAGGCCCCTGCCCATTGGCTGTGTCTAGGGTAGGTAAGTCTGCCTAATACTGGCGCTTAGTTAGCAGGCCCATTTAGTTTTAACATTAAGCTACATTCTCCAGATTAACCTTTTGGACCCCTCCCAATACAAAAATAAGAAAATAAAACCCCTGAGCTAGGTGATGCTATGCTGCCCCAAGCAGGGGCCTTTCAGATGAAAGACCTCAGCTAGAAGTCATCACCAATGTGTCTTTTCTCTTCTTCAGTACAGGCGTCTCTTTGTGGAAGCATTTCTGAAGCAGTGTATGCCGCTCTTAGACTTCAGTTTTAGAAAACACCGGGTAAGAACTGAGAGCAGAGAGCAAAGACATGCTCTGTACAGTTGTTCAGAAGATACATCCATGGTGCTTCGTGGGCTGAGTGTGGGGGCAGTCCCCTTGGCCACGTTCTGGGCCACAGTTCTACTTGGGCACCTTTGGTCCACTTCAGCTACTGCCAGAGATGCCTGTATAGGACGGAATATTCCAAAGTAGGGTGAACTCCTCAGACCCACTCTGGTTCAAACCCACTTTCCTACTTTTCCAGATCTGAGGGTGGTGGTTCCTTTTAGATTGATTTTATTGTGCTGCTGCACTCCCAGGACCTCATATATCACTGTGTCATTTGATTATTCCTTTGTGCTTCTCTAGATCTACTCTAGGGAATAATTAAAAAAAGAGCTCATTTGTGTCGTAAACTCTTTGCTGTTATAATGGACAGTCTTGAGAGTT